AGATCAGTAATTAGTAAGCATGCAAAAGTATAAAACACAATTCTGTCATAATATCAAACATGAAATAAATGGCCTTAGCTACACAAAATAAAATCAAAAGCCTCATACTCTGTAGTGACACAGCCCATATTTTTGTAGAGTATTCTGTAACAAATATGTAACTGAAATTAAAGTAATGTACAAGATAACATACATACTTTAAACATATTATGTATGAACTATATATATAGTTTTTTTTTTGAAAGAAATCTTGAATTTCCTTCTGTTGAGGAATCAAAGTACTTTTAAGATTATTTGGTTTTTGTACTATTGACCTGTATTTACATCAAAGAAGTTAATATTTTTAAGAAGCATGAGACAGGAGAAACTGTTTCTATAAAATACACATTATTGTCTTCACTTAGCAAGGTATATTCACAGCAAGTAGTTAGAACAGTAGATCCTGCTACTTGCTAATTTGTTGTTCCTTAATTGTCCAGTTCCAGCTTTTAGCCACCATTTTCACTGGGAGCCAAACATGTAAATAGCTTTTTTTTTTATTACAGAATTTTGTTCCATTCCAAAGATGAAGCTATAAATATTTTTAAAAACAGTTTTTATTGGAAACTGTCTGATTGCTGGCTAGGAGACAGCATCTTTATGTAAGTGTTTGCACATCCTAAAAAGTGTGGATGAGTCTATTCATTATTCACTTTTCAGATAATGCCTGTGCAATTTAAATATTACAGGGCTGGTTTCTTCTTCCTGAAGTTGTAGGATTTTGGGACAGTTCATTGATAAGGGCTATTTATCTCAGAAACTGCCATAAACATGAAATGGAAAGACTGGCTTTTTGACCAGATTGTCTCAGGGAACCCATTTGCCAGGGAAACATACTTACCTTTCTGTATGTTACTATGTTCCTGGAGCAATTAATTCATGGCATAGCTGTTAGGGTCATCTGTTCAGGTGGCTACTGGTGCCAGAAAAGGTAGTTTTGCTTTTAAAAATGAAATGTGCTGTGATTGGACTAAGCAGACAAGAAGAAATGTTTCAAAGGATACAAATGTTTCAAAGGAAACAAATGTTTCAAAGACTTGTAGTCTTTGGGTTTTGAACTAGGAGGAGGACTGACACTCTGTCAGGTAACAAATGACATTAACAAAGTTCAAGGTTTCAGGACACTGATTAGAAATTAATCATGATAAGAAAAAATGTGGAGATGACTGCTTTTAAGAGAAAGCTGAGAGAAATGCAAGAAAAAAAAGTATTCAAACAATTTTTAACTGGATTAGAATTTTGTTGAAAACTAGCTGATGCTGGCTGGGAGACAGTTCCTTTTGGTAAATGTTTAAATATCTTGAAAAGTGTAGGAGCATCTATTTACCCACTTTTCAGAAAATGCCTGTGAATTTTAAAATAATAAATATGGGTTTAAAATCTTAGTAAAAGTAATAACTGTTATATTAATAGCTTCAGTGATCTGGAACTCTATTAGTGAGGACTTCCACTTGCAAGCAGGAAATGCTTTTTGGAATGTAAATGCTAAAGGGCTAAAACCAGGTAACATCAAAGAGAGCAGGGGGGCATTTCCTTGATGTCTCAGTTACTTTATATATTTTCCTGGGTATTTCATTAATCTGACAAGTATTTATGATGCTTACTCTATGTGGCAAGTATAGTCCCAGTTGCTGGAGAAATAACTATATACAGACAAGAGACAAGATTACTATTTTTTTTTTTTTGGTCACAAGTAAACCGAAGGTACATTTTATTGCACTCTGCTTTATTAAGCTTGTGGCTATTTTATTTTATTTTTTAACAAGTTGAAGGTTTGTGTCAACCCTGCATTGAGCCAATCTATTGGTGCCCTTTTCCCAACACCCTGTGCACATTTCATGTCTCTGTATCACATTTTGGTAATTCTCACAGTATTTCAGACTTTTTCATTACTTTTTTTATCTATTACAGTGATCTGTGATTAGTGATCTCTGATGTTACTATTGTAAATATTTGGGGGTGACAGAATTGTGCCCACATAAGATGGTGAACGTCACTGATAGATGCTGTGTGTGTTCTGACTGCTCACCAACCAGCCTTTCCTTCATCTCTCTCCCTCTCCCTGGGCTCCCTATTCCCTGAGACACAATCATATTAAATTAGGCCTGTTAGTAACCCTGCAATGGCCTCTAAGTGTTTGAGTGAAAACAAGAGCTGTATGTCTGTCACTTTCAATCAAAAGCTGGAAATAAGCTTAGTGAGAAAGGCATATTAATAGCTGAAATAGGCTGAGAGATAAGTCTTGTGTGTCAGATAGCCAAGTTGTAAACGCAAAGGAAAAGTTCTTGAAGGAAGTTAAAAGTGTTACTCCAGGGAACGCAAGAATAATAAAGTGAAACAGCCTTATTGCTGATATAGAGAAAGCTTTAATAGTCTAAGTAGAAGATAAAACCAGGCACACATTCATAGTCTAAGTAGAAGATAAAACCAGCCACACATTCCCTTAAACCAAAGTGTAATCCATAGAAGTGCTCTCTCTCTCTTCAATTCTGTCAAGGCTAAGAGAGGCAAGGAAGTTTCAGAAGAAAGGTTTGAAGCTAGCAGAAGCTGGTTCATGAGGTTTAAGATGAAGTTGTCTCCAGAACATAAAAGTGCAAGGTGAAACAGCAAGTGCTGATGGAGAAGCTGCAGGAAGTATCCAGAAGATTTACCTAAGATAATTGATGAAGGTGGCTACAGTAAAAGACAGATTTTCAGTGAAGGTGAAACAGCCTCCTATTGGAAGAAGATACCATATAGGACTTTCATAGCTATGGAGGAGATGTAACTTCTGGATTCAAAGTTTTGAAAGACAGGCTGTCTTTCTTAGGTGATAATGCAGCTGGTAACTAAATTGAGGCCAGTGCTCATTTGCCATTCTGAAAATTCTAAAGCCCTTAAGAATTAGGCTACATTGATTCTGTCTCTGCTCTACAAATGGAACAGCAAGGCCTGAATGATATCACCTCTATTTACAATATGGTTTACTAAAATTTTTAACCTTTTGAGACCTACTACTCAGAAAACAAGATTCCTTCAAAATACTACTGCTCATGGATGATGCACATGGCCACCCAAGGGCTCTGATGGAGATGTATAACATTACTGTTGTTTTTATGCCCACTAATACAATATCCAATCTGCAGCCCATGAATCAAGAAGTGATTTTGATTTTCAAGTCTTATTTAAAAAATACATTTCTTTAGGCTACAGTTACCCTAGATACTGACTTCTCTGATGGATCTGGGCAAAGTAAATTGAAAATCTTCTGGAAAGGATTCACCATTCCTAAATGTCAGTAGGAACACTTGTGATTCATTGGAGGAGGTAAAAATGTCCATATTAACAGGATTTGGAAGAAGGCGATTGAGTGATTTTGAGGAGTTCAAGGATTTAGTAGAGGAAGTAACTACAAATGTGTTAGAAATATCAAGAGAACTAGAAATAGAGCATGAAGATGTGACAGAATTGCTATAGTCTCATGTTAAAACTTGAATGAGTGAGGAATTGCTTCTGTGGATGACCAAAGGAAGTGGTTTCTTGAGATGGAATCTACTCCTGGTAAAGATACTGTGAACATTGTTGAAATGACAATAAAATATTTAAAATAGGACATAGAGTTGTTTGGTAAAGCAGTGGCAGAGTTGGAGAGGATTTTTCATTCCAAAATTTGAAAAATGTTCCGCTGTGTATAAAATGGTACCAAATATCATCATGTGCTACAGAGAAACTTTTTATGAAATGAAGAGTCAATTGGTACAAGAAAATTCATGGTTGCCTTTCTTGAAGAAATTGCCACTGTCAGCAAATCTTCAGCAATCACCACCCTGATCTCTTAACAGGCATTGAAATGGAGGCAAAACCCTCTACCAGCAAAAAGATTATGATTCACTGAAGGTTCAGATGATCATTAGCATTTTTTAGCAGTATTTTAAATTAAGTTATGTACATTATTTTGTTTTTTAGATATTATGCAATTGCTCACTTAATAGACTATAGTATAGAGTAAACATAACTTTTATATGCACTGATAATGCAAAAAAAATGTGTCTGACTTGCTTTATTGCAGTGGTCTGGAATCCAGTCCTGTAACATCTCTGAGATATGCCTGTATATACACACATGTTCATAGAGTGAATCATTCTGTGAAGACAAAGTAAGCTCTTCAAGTAGATAGTGATGGGGAAGGTCAAGCCTGACAGGGTATTTCAGGATTTGCTGATGGTTAAGAGGTCAGAGAGAGGGAAGGAGAGCAGTTACAAAAGACAGGAAGACACTGGGAAAATGGAGAGCCCTTTTTATGAGATGGGGAAGACTGGGAGAGGAGAACAATTGCAGAAGGGACCGAGGGAGTGCTGTGAAACCAAAAGTTCACATTGAGCATGTTGAGTTGCAAATGACTATTAAATATTCAAATGGAGTTGTTGGGTTGGCAATTGGAAAGCAAGCCTGGAGCTCTGGAAGAAGTCAGGGTTTCATATATAAATTTGGGAGTCACAAATGTTTTAATAGTATCTGAAACCACAGAACTGCATAAGATAACTTATAGAGTGAGAGGTATGAGTATAAATGAAGGAGAAGGCTGAAAGGTGAAGTGGAGAAGGGACAACTAGAAATAGAAATGGAAAGTTGTAGCCTGTGTGGTGGGAAGAGAACTGAGAATGGGTAATGTCCTGCAAGCCAAGAGCTCAAAGCAAAAAAAGAAAATAGTAAGCAATCATCTGTGATAATTGCTTCTGGAAGTAAGATGAGTCCTGAGAACTTACATTTGTCTAAATGGAAGACAAAATAATTCGGGAAGAAAGAACTCATGATAAAGAGGGAGAGAAATATTAGTATAGTAACTGGCTATTAAGTTCCTCCAGATATCGGAGGCAACTTCTGTTAGGAACATTCTATCAAGATTTAAAACTTGAAAAAGAATTTACCTTAATGAATCCCAAAGGGAGCTTAGTTTTGTGACATAAGAGGCAGTTTTTTTTTTTTTTTTTTTTTTTTGACATCCAGACAGCTTTTATTGAAAATAGTTACTGCAGCCAACGTTGAAAAAGTTTACTGCAGCTTTTGACTTCTTCAAAGAGCTGATAACCCTCATCCGCTTCTTCACCTTCTTCGTCATAATCATCATCATCATCTTCAATAGCTTCTCCAGTAAAGTATAACACTGATCTTGGGATTATACGCTCACGTAAAAAGTGACCAATTTCAAAGTCTGCAGCAAGGATAGCTTCAGCATCATCATCCAGATCTCCACTCTCGGGAACTTCAGGAGGGGCAAAAAAATTAAAGAAAGAGTCATTGGAAACTGTTTTAGTCACAGTACGAACTGTCCCGTGTCCCTTGTGTTTCTGCTTCTTCTTGATGGTTTTCAAAGTGACATTCTTTCCTTTTTTCCAATCTATCTGGCACCCTGTTCAACCCATAATTTCTGGTCCATCAAAAGAAAAGGGATGAGAATCATCTGGTTCTGACCTCATCCTATATGTCTTTGTCAGCACTTCATTTGTAAAATATTCATTGGGCTCAAAGTGAAATTCTAAGACAAAACTCATAGGCTGGCCAGCATCTGAGAACTTCACTTTAATATCTTTCAAGTGCTTCAGAATAGGTTCATCATGTTCCGGAACCATATCACTGAGCAAGTCAACATTCTTAAAAACAGTTAACCAAAATTCAGAAATTCCTTTGGGGTGTTCTTTTTCTTCATCCTTTTTCTCATCTTCAGTCTTGGCCTTTTCTTTCAATTCCTCCGAAATCTCATCTTATTCACCCACCATCCAAAGTCAATGGGGCTGTAGTTCAATGCCATTTGATGTAATTTAAATCCCTCCTTTCCACGTACCCCATCATCCCCTATAGCAGGCAGGTGTGTATTATTTTTACTGTAATATGGGTCAGTATGTGTTAGAGCTGTCTACTTCTCCCCATATCCACTGCCAACTTCTCCCTTGAAGCTGGTGTCATCTTTTATCTGGACCACTGCAACTACTGTGCTAGTTCATTGAAGAGGCCACCACCAAGACAAGATTCAATGTGAAAGAGATTTATCAGGGGAAATGCCAGTGAGGAATAAAGGGGGAAGGCACAGAAGTAGAAAGAAGAGTTTTCAGGTTTTGGGAGTGGTTCTGACACCTTTGCAAAAGGTGGGAGGACGGAAAACTCTCAGACCATGGAGCAGTTCTAAGAAAGTTTTGACCAGGATGGTGGGAAGCCCCTAGACAAGTTGTCCATCAGAGTAGTCCCACATCCCATAGGAATGAAGGCCAGCACTGTAGTACTAGGGCCTAGGCATTAGCAGGAATTGACCAGGGCCTGGTGGGAGGGGTGGAGGTCAGTGGGTGGGGCTTTGACTTCAGCTCAACTGTGGTAATGGGGCCATAGGGGAATGACTGGTGCTGTCAGCCAACTAAGTTCCCCAGGGCCAGTTATCGTAAAGGAGATTTGAGTTTAATATCGTTGAAATCATGCAAACTTAGAAACTTACAGAAGGGACCCCACGGAGCTGAAACTCAAACCTTTGAGGAAGTGTTGGTATTTCTCAGCAGGGATCCCAACCTGTTTTGGAAAGCTTGGAAAACTTGCAAACTAGATGCATACAGATGAAGGGAGTACCTGCCTGTGCCAGGGGAAAGAGGAATTCCTGCTTCGCAGGAATTGCAACAGACAGAAAGTCTGCAGGAAACACAGAGAAAAGAGCCAATTTCTTTTTCCTCCTCCAGTATGGAAGTCTCCATGCAGAGTCCCTGTTTAAGATGACTAAGGAGGAAGGATTCAGTAAAGCAGAAATGGAGTTCGTAGAGTCCCAAATGCAGTGTCATACTGAATTTCAGATAATAATTTTAAGTCTAAATATGCCCCAAATATTGTGTGGGATATACTTAATTATTCAATATTTGATTTGGCAACCCTAATGAGAGTACTCTTTCATTAGAGTAAAGAGATGTGGGTTTGGGAGTGGAAGACAATAATACAACATCTTAATAACTGGCACAACATATGGTCTGCTTTTCCATTTTTTGTAATCAGGGAACTCATGTGTTTTGCTCATTTTTATGGTGGATTTACAGATTATCTCTGGGCTTTTGTGATATGAATCGCTTTGGGTCATGTCTCCAGATCAAGGCAGAATGCATGCAATAAGATAGCATAAAGGGAATGTTTTTGTGCTAGAGACTATTGTTTGTTTCTAGTTCCCTCACAATTGGGACCAAGCTGCATTCTTGGAGTTAAATGCCCCCTGGCTCTTTACTTTAGATCTTTATTTCTGTTAAGGAGTTCTGTTACTGAGGCCTCACCTCTCTAAGCTTCAGGATCTTTCTAACTCTCTCGGAAGGATCCAGTTGCTTCTTTACCGAGGGGCCAGAGGGATCTCCCTTAGCTTTCTGGTCTCCTCAAGGCTTTCCAGTTTATTCCCAAGAAAACACACAATCCTTACCTTCTTCCCAAGGCACTAGTAGACATTCATTAGATGTTGCCTGAACTGATGGAATTGATGCAACAGCCCTGGACCATGAGGGATACATGTGCAGAAAGGTTACTTATCACAGCGATCCTCAAATCCCTTGAAGGCCTTTCTCTTAAAGGATCAGATAACAAATATTTTAGATTTTGCAGACCAACAGGCAAAATTGAGGCTGTAATACTTTCATTAGGGTTGCCAAACCAAACATGGAATAATGTAAGTATGTTCCATACAATATTTGGGACATATTTATGCTTTAAAATTATCGGAAATTCAAATTTAAGATGGCATCTTGTATGTTTATTAAGCAAATCTAACATATAATCATTTAACATATAATCATTTCCAACTGTGACACCCATTCTTGGCTTTCAGGCTGTAAAGAACAGCTGGCCAGTTGTGGTTCAGGGGTATAGTTTGCTGACATCTGACCTACTGTATTATTGAGAGTCTGGTTTCAGGAGGCAGAAGCCACTTGCAGAGATGGATGTAATATAGGGATTTAAGTGTTTACAAAATCACTGGAATAGCTGGATGAATAGGCTTTACACTAGACCACCAGGAATGAGACCCAGATCAACATGCTAGAACTGGCCTGCCAAGGAGACGACTTATTCCAGTCAGTTTTCAGTATTTTGTGTCCCTGGGAGGTCTGTTGGCTCCAGGAAACTACCATCTTACATCTGATGGGGCAAACTGGAAGCTGTTCCCAGAACTGCTGATTTCAGAGTCACACAGCAGCTACTAATCAGCTCCAGCTTATTACATCTCAAGTGCTTCTACCCCTCTCTCCATTTACTTCAATCATAAGTCTCATGCACATGCATCTGATTGGGAGGCATACCCAGAGCAGTAGCTGAAGGGATCTGAGAAATAGAGCTTTTACCTTTTCAGTTTCTGCCGAATATGGAAGCTGAGTAAGAGAACAGCAGCTTCCACGTGAAAAAAACTGTCTGCTACCGTCCTCCTTCCTAGCCTTCTCCTCCCGCTTTCACTGTCTGGGCTTGGACTGCACAGAGGATGTTCACTTGCATCTCTGAAATTATAGGTCAGGTCTGCAATGCTATACCAATGAACTTAAATATTCTCCTCTCTATTCTGAATCCTAACCATTCCTCTTTTATTTTTGTTAGGAAGCAGACAGGGCTTTTGTTTCTTATGGCTTTGTTTACAGCAATTGGTAATTTCCTAAATCTTGTGATTTTTTTTTTTTTTTTTTACTTCATCTCCTCTCTCATTTAAAAATTGTTTGAACATAATGTTTCTCAATCCGTTGGAAATAGAGCATGGAGATAAGACACTAGACCCAAAGCTGAATTCAATCAAAACCATTTAAATGAAAAATTCAAATGAAATACAAGATGATTGTGCCTGATTTATACTTGACATAGTTGGTTGATTAATGACAACCATTCATAAAGACTTTGGAGGAATTTGGACTAGGTTTGAAATTACTCCCTTTCTCAAAATACATGCATTCACTGAATCTTCCTTTTGTTCTTTTTCAGAGGGAAGTTGTTTATATTCTTTCCAGCATTAATCTTTCATCTTATGCTTTGTAGTTCAGTTTCTTCCCAATTTCTTTATGCTTTACTTGAACAATTTTATTCCCTTTCTTTTCAGTATGTTTAGCCTTTCCACGGCTGCTGGTATCTTTCTCTCCCCTGCAAACATACTCAGTTCTTCCTGAGTTTGTATGAATCCTTTTTTTTTTTTTTTTTTTTTTTTTTTTGAGACGGAGTTTCGCTCTTGTTACCCAGGCTGGAGTGCAATGGCGCGATCTCGGCTCACCGCAACCTCCGCCTCCTGGGCTCAGGCAATTCTCCTGCCTCAGCCTCCTGAGTAGCTGGGATTACAGGCACGTGCAACCATGCCCAGCTAATTTTTTTGCACTTTTAGTAGAGACGGGGTTTCACCATGTTGACCAGCATGGTCTCGATCTCTCGACCTCGTGATCCACCCGCCTCGGCCTCCCAAAGTGCTGGGATTACAGGCTTGAGCCACCGCGCCCGGCTGTATGAATCTTTTGATTTTGCACCTCTGGAATTATTACACATTCATTTCATTTTCTTCAGGAAAGTTCTCAAAAGAATAGTGCACATTTACTGCCTCTACTTCCTATATTTCCCTTATCCTTCTGCAATCTTGCTTCTGTTCCTGACAGTTGAAAACACTGCCTTCAAAAGGACAGTATGATTTCTTAATAGACAACCAATGACCCTTTCTTAAGATTTCCTTCTTCATCTTTTTCAAACATTTCAGGCTGTTAATACTCCTACACCTATATTTTAATGCCTCTTTCTTTGACCTCTATAATGCAACATTGTCTTACTTCCCCTTAATATATAACTGTGACTATTCTTGATTCCTTTCTTTGTCAGCCTTGTGAACTTGTTCTGATCCTTTTCTCTCATTTTATCTTTATGCTTCCATTTTCTAATGACCACATCATTTCCTGCAAACATGCTTCATCCTCTTTATTCACTGAAAAGAAAAAGGAAATCTCTTGAACCTGATTTCCTTCCAGGCTTCTATCCTACTCCTCACGTTGCTTATGCTTCCAAAATTCTTGAAAGTGTATTGTATCTATGCTCTGTTTACCATCTTACAACTTACTCTATTGTCTGTAATTTTTACAATTTCTCTTCTCTATGTTTTGAAATTCCCTCCTTCCTTGGACTCAATGACCTGCCGTATGCTGGTCATTTTATTATCTTCTGATGGCTCCTTTTGTGTCACCATTGTTCCATTTCTCCTTCCTACTCCTAAAAGTGGATATTTTCTAATGTTACATGATTCTTTTAGTGCCATTCTATTATCATGATTTCTTTTTCAATTCCCACTTGTGAGCAGTTGCTAGATTCTGTAAACTCTTCATATTTCTTGTATTCGTATTATCCTATTGCCAATGTCCCATGCCTCCTCCACATTTACTCTTGCCTGGTCATGTCAGTGGTTTTCTCATTAATTTCTTGACTGTGTGGTGTCTGAGTCTGAGCATCTGAAAGACACTTACAAGGTTACACACCCATGGCAGATGCTTGCTTCTAAGGCACAAAAGATATAGAAAATACTACATGAATTAGGAAGGTGTGTTCTCTTGGAATATAAGGGTGGGTTAGGAAGATGCGTTCTCTTGGTTGTCATTGACATAGTTCCCTGAAGTCCCTTTGGCCCACTTGGGTGCCTGCTCATGGGCCCATATGGTTTGAAATTATGCTCATGGTTTGTAGTCCACTTACACCTATTCTCTACAGTCTTTGTTTTTATCTGCAGCTACTTACAACTCTCACAAGTGACA